CCTCCGCGGCGGCCGTAGTCCTGTCAGCGTCGCTTGTCTTGGACTGGAGCAGCGATGCTCCCAGGGCCCGAGAGCAGTTTCGGGGAGAGGGGACGTGTCTCGAGGCTTCAGAACGCCGCACGCTGAAGTGGAGAAGTGCGCGGCCCTCTTTCCCACCCGGCTGCGGCTTCCGCCATTTCTAGACACGGCGTAGCTTGTCATGAGCCCAGTGTCTTGACAGTCGCTGGTCCCTCTACCTGGAAAGTTGGCCTACCGCCCCCAAGCTTCCGAAGAGCTGCTGGTCGTCCAGATGAGACACTGCCCTTGTTGAGGCACCCGCGCCGTCGGAGAGCTCTCATCGCCCCGTTTCAACAGCGGCCTCCATCACCTAACCAGTTTTCCCCCAGGCTGCTCCTAAAGCTGAGACTTCCCAGGACTAATGTTTAACCCTGTTCTGTTCCACCGCTTTCAGTGGTCTGATCCGGGCTTGTGGCTTTCAGTACCGTTCTACACTGGACCAATCTCAAGTATTTGTCTGCAGCTTTGATCCGTCTGTGAACTCCATTTTCATGTAAACAATAGCCTCAGCCTTTCCAGTAGGATGCAGAATTGGCACCTCATGCTATGTCCAAAGTCATACTCTCTATTTCCCCTCTAGATGTGCCCTTTCACCACTATCCGCATTGGCACCAATTGCTCAGCTTTTCAGACCGAAAGCCTTGGAGCCATCTTTCATGTTTCTATCATCCCCACATCTGTTCTGGCTGCAAATCCTGTCCATTCTGCCTACATCTTGAATCTGACCACTTTTCACCATTGTCACAGCTCTACAAAAAAACCACAGTTACTCTGGCCTGTATTTTTGCAGTTTCCTCCTAAAATTTCATCTGCTCTGCCTTTGCCCCCAACAGTTTGTTCTCACCATAGCAGCCCACGGGATCTTGTTAAAATTGAAATCAGATCATGCTCCTCTACTCACTATTCCACTGTCTACTGATCCACATCACATAAGTGAAAGCTAGATTCTACTTTGGCTTATAAGGACATATACAATTTAGCTTGTTACCTCCCTCCCCCTTCTGTTCCAGTCACCCCTTCTTCACCTAGAACTTTCTCACTTCATTCCAGTCTTTCCTCAAATGTCGCCTCCAGAGATGATTTCCTATTTAAAAGAATTCCACCCACATCACTATACATTCCCTTATTCAGCTTGCTTTCTGTTCATAGCATTTAACTCTGGCCAGTATGTCTATTTAATTGTTTATATCTGTCTCCTTAACTAGAACATAAAGGTTTTGAGGCAGAGGCAATGTCTTGGTTCACTACTTTATTAGTATAGTGCCTGGCACAGGGCAATTGCTTAGTAAATATTTGCCAATTGAGTGAACAGTGTATAAAGACAGAGTACAAACAGGATTGTCTAGTGAGCTGGGTGAACAAATGATGAGAAGTCTAGCGTCAGGGAGAGGAAGAAATATTAAATCTGATGCAACCGGCTGGCCTGTTGCAGTGTAAGGTAGTCTGACATGGGAAGGTTTCCAGTTCAGAGAAAGGAGTAAGAGGCTGTGATGAAGTTGGTACCCAGTGGCTTCAAAGGAAGGCCTGTGTAATACTCAGTTCAGTACAAGGTTCATGACCAGGATTTGAATTCTTTCACATTTTTAAAATCACTTTATTCCTGATAGATTGTGGGCCCACAGATGTGACAGTGAGAGAGGAGAGGGAACCCCTCTACAGAGTTCAGGCATGACACACTCCCCTTCCTCTAGTCCTCCAGCCCATGGAATCCTGGGCATTTACAGGCTTGCCTGACATGACATGCTTCAGGCAGATTGGGCTGGGCATTCAAACCACAATTGCTATGTTGTGCCCAGCTTCTCTTAAGTATTACATTACCTCTGTGCCATGGAGTTGGCCCAAGGAAGTTAAATTCTTTTATTTATTTATTTATTTTTGAGAGATTTTTACTATAGGGCGTGTGCGTTCACCAGAGAGATAAACAGAAAGCAAGAAATCACCCCCCGGGGGATGGCCATGCCACAATCCCTTCTCCTCCATTCTCTTCTCAGGATCTTGGGCATGCATGCATACACACCTGGTGTGAATTTTAAGCTGCTGGGTCCAGGACTCAAACCACGGTTGACTACATGGGAATCTAGAGACCATTATGCCATCTGCCTGTCCTGGGAGTTGAATTCTTGTTCTTTCCTCCCCATTTCAGGCTGGGACCCAGCTTACTTGCCTATGCTTCCTGAGTGAGCTCCCCTTTTTTTAATTTGTTAACAGCCAATTTCCCAATTTACATCTCCATTCCAGATCTTCTGACTCTAGTATCACAATAACTATATAGTAGATACATTTGCTTGGGTGTCCACATGCATTACTAACTCAACATGTCCAAAATTATCTGAATCTACTTTGCTCCTTCTCCAAAATAAACTATCCTTTTTCCATGATGCCTATCCCTGTCACTGGCCCTGGAACTGAGAAAGAGAGAGAAAAAGAAAGTCAGAAAGTAAACCCCCCAATGAATAATGGTCATGCCAAATGCCTTCTCTTCCATTTCTCACTCCCCACCTTTTTTTTTTTTTTGGCATGGGGGTGTGTGCTCGGAAGGAGAGAGACACACACACACACAGAGATAGAGAGAAGGAAAGTGAGAAATTATCCCCAAGGGGGAATAGTCACACCACAGTCCCTTCTCCTCCATTCTCCTTCTGAGATTTTGGGCACATGCACAAACATGCCAGTGAGATTGTCAAGCTGCTGGATCTGGGACTTGAGCCACCGTTGGCCATGTGAGAGTCCAGCACTTCAACAACCATGTCTCCTGCTGACCCATTTATGTCTCCTTTCAGGATTGTGGACATGCACACACATATGCCTGATGGGTTTTTTAAACCATCCGCTATGGAACTTGAACCATGTGGGATCTGACCACCTTAACCACCGTGCCACTGGTTGGCCTGGTTGTACTACTTTGAGAATTTACTAAAACCTATTAAATTATACAAACTTAAAAAATAAATTCTGGGGACCAGCTGTTGGCGTAATGGCTATGTTGCTGGACTCCCATGTAGTCAACCAAGGTTCGAGTCCCAGACCCAGTGGATTAAAACTCACACTGGATGCAGGTACGTGCATGCCCAGGATCCTGAGAGGAGAATGGAGAAGAAGGGATTGTGGTGTGGCCATTCCCCTGGGGGTGTGTGTGTGTGTGATTTCTCACTTTCTGTCTCTCTGTCTTTCTGGTGTGCACACATGCCCTATAGCAAAAACCTCTCCAAAAAAAAAAAAAGTGAATTCTGGAGACTGAGTCCACTACGAGAGCTGAGATCTAGTGATTTCATGGATAAAAGCAATGAAGAAGTCACCCTGGTAGAGCCCCCTCTGTCCTTTTCTCTCTGTCGCTCTCTCTCTCTGTCTTTTCATTTAAAAAATTTTTCTTCTTTAAAAATTTTTAAGGTAAAGGGAACCAGCAGTTAGCGTAATGGCTATGTCACTGGACTCCCACGAAGTTGACCGCGGTTCACATCCCGGACCTGGTGGCTTAAAACTCACGCCGGGCGCGTGTGCGTGCGTGCCCAAGATCCCGAGAGGAGAATGGAGGAGAAGGGATTGCGGCGTGACCATCCCCCCTGGCGGGTGATTTCTCGCTTTCTGTCTCTGTGTCTCTGTCTGGCGAGCGCAAGCACCCTATAGTGAAAAACCTCTCCAAAAAAAAAATTTTTTTTTAAGGTAAAGTTTTTTCTTGGCTCCGAAATCCTCCTTTATCTTGGTAACAATCCCCTCCCCTTTCCCTCTCCCATCTAGGCAAACAGAAAGGGCAGGCCAGAAGAAGACTGAGTCTGCCACGAGAGCTGAGATCTAGTAATTTCACATGGTGCTTGCAAGGTGCGTGGTTTTCATTTTTTTTTTTTTTTAAATTAACAAATAAAAAACTTATTGTTTGTTTGCCCCCCCCCTTTTTTTTTCTCTTTCTCTGTTTTCTTATCCTTTGTCTTTTACCTCATCACTTTGCTACTCAGCCTCCACACACTGAGTGTCTAGACAGGTCTATGTGAAAAGCTGCCCAAATCTGAATACTATTTGGGTCTTCATATTCCTCAACTCCCACTGAATCTGTGACACAAAGGGAGAAAAATGCAATGCCAAATAGTTTGCAGACCACATTCTCCTGTGTGCCTCTGATCTCTCAGATTGATCTTCTAGAAATTAGGAAGAAACAACCCATTAGATGACTAGAAATCATTGCAGGGGCACAAGAAATATGTGAAAGCAATAAAATACCCCTAGGGTAAAGAATAACTCCTCTTCAACCACAGACAGTACAATGGAACTCATGGAAATATCTGATAAAGAATTTAGAGTGTTGGGAACCAGCAGTTAGTGTAATGGCTATGTCGCTGGACTCCCACGTAGTTGACCGCGGTTTGCGTCCCGGACCCGGGGGCTTAAGACTCACACCGGGCATGTGCGTGCATGCCCAAGATCCCGAGAGGAGAATGGAGGAGAAGGGATTGCGGTGTGACCATCTCCCCTGGGGGGTGATTTCTCGCTTTCTGTCTCTGTGACTCTGTCTATCTGGTGAGCGCACACGCCCTATAGCGAAAAACCTCTCAAAAAAAAAAAAAAAAGAAAAAGAAATGGAAAGAAACTGCAGATACCAGAGACAGGGTGGAAGGAGGATGGGAAATGGCAGAAGGTGAGAAATAGGGGAAAATATACATATACAAGAAACAAGACATAGAAAATAGTTTGTTGATGATAACATGTATGATTAAGCCACTTTACAGTGTATTCTGGCTGGAAAATTGCATTTTGTATGCTGTGGTGAAGTTCAGTGAAAGTATGTAAAATAAATAAATAAAAAAACAAAAAAGATAAGTACGGAGAGCCAGAAGGTGGCATAGTGGTAATGTGATACTCTGTGACTTTGGATCCACATAGCAAGGTTCCTGGTAGATGTCCTGAGGGCTTCCTGTAATCACAGGATGTGCATGCACATGCCCTTGATCCAGGCTGGCTGGGATTGGACATAAACTGTGGCGTGGGGACACTGGTGGGAATGTCTCTTTCTCTCTGCCTCTTTCATGGAAGAAATAAATAAATAAGCTTAAAAGATTATTTTTAAAAAAGTGAATTCTGGACCAGGAGGTGGTGCAGAGGTTGAGCTAACTGGATTGCACATCTTATAGCAAAAATACCTAAATAACAACAATGATAAAAACCTCTGGTGGACTGTTATCTTTCTCTCCCTGAAGAAATAAACGTTTCTTTTTAAAGTTTTATTTATTTTAATGTGACCAGACACACACACACAGAGAGAGAGAGAGAGAGAGAGAGAGAGAGAGAGAAAGCAAGCCACCAGGTCCCGGACTTGAACCATGATTGGCCATGTGGGAGTGTCCAGCACCCTTAACCACCATGCCACCTCCTGGTTCCCAAACTTTTTTTTAAACTGAGTTCAAAATTGTGTGAGTATAGGCCTTTTTCAAGGAGAAAACAGGCAGCATATGCAAATAAAGCAGAAAACCATTAACTTGCAAATGCTATTATGTCAGTTAGATATAAAATATTTTTAAAGAATTATTTTTATACCCCAGAACTGGCCGCCGGTGGTATCATGGCGACCCGGAACCCCCCCTCCCCAAGACTATGAAAGTGATGACGACTCTTAGCAACTGCAGTAGGTGGTGGCTTTCTTCTCCTTCAGATTGCCAGTCACAGTGGCTATGTGCAGATTGACTGGAAGAGAGTTGAAAAAGATGTAAACAAAGCCAAACGACAGATTAAGAAACGAGCAAACAAAGCAGCACCTGAAATCAACAATATAATCGAAGAAGTAAGACCATTTACAATTTGGGCTCTTGTTTTATTTTTATAGTAGCTCTCACTTAGCAGAAAAGGTAACTTGGGATTATTTTCCTTAAAAAAGAATTAATTTTGTTATGTACCTAGAGTGTTAAGTACAATTTGGGATCAGGCCACCATTTTAATCAGTCATTGTTATTTTTTTAAGGGTTTTTTTTTTCTCCCCATTGGGCATGTGTACTTGCCAGAGAGACAGAGAGAGATAGGAGAGGGAAAGTGAGGAATCACCACCCAGGGGAGATGGCCATGCTGCAGTCCCTTCTCTTCCTTTCTCCTCTTGGTATTTTGGGCACACACCATCATGTTTTAAACATTTGCATCTCTTTAGAACTTAGCCTATAAAATATCACCATTGGTTATAGATATATATAGAGAAAAAATCTGTTGGATTTAATGCCTAGTGAAATATTTTCCTTTTTTTATTTAAATAAAGTGTTCTTCATTGTGCTTTAAAAAAAAAAGAATTATTTTTATTTGTCTTTATTTATTTATTTATCTTAATCTTAATTTGACCAGAGAAGGAGAGAGAGAGAGAGAGAGAGAAAGGGAAAGTGAGAAAGCAAACCCCCAGGCCTGGGACTTGAACCACAGCCGGCCACATGGTAGTCCAGCACCCTTAACCACCATGCCACCTGCTGGCCCAGGGCATGTTATTTTATATACATTGTAGTCACATTTTATATTAATTTAAGGTAATTTTTTTCTCTCTGTATTATTTAGGGATTTGAGTATTTAAGGATTTGTTATCTATTGCTGAACAACAAACCACCCTAAAATTCAGTGGCTTAGAACAACAGTCTAAGTCCTTTTATTGTACCTTACAATTTTATGGATCAGAACATTGAGCAAGGCTTTGCTGAACAGTTCGGTTCTGGGTAGCATCAATTGGTATGTGGTGGCAGCTGGTCTGATCTATGAGGGTCCAACATGGCATCACTCACATGCCTATGTGGCAAGAAGAGGGCCAAGGCTTGGACTTTTATAACTCTGTGAAGACACCTTACCAGATTGAACTGTCAATAATCCTATTGCGTCAGTGTTATTTTTATTTTGAGTCTCTCTGAATTAGCAGCTAAACACATGTCCTAAGTGGTGCAAAAGGCAAAGTCATCTAACATCTCCTGAACATTTACCTTGTGCCAGGTATAGGGCCAGTTATTTTTTATTCAATATTTATTTAATTTAATATTATTATTTTTAAAATTAATTAATTAATTAATTATTTTTCACATGAGTTTTACCTTGAAAAGAGATTACTATACAGGCCCAGACTCTGTGATGCAGTTGGTAGCATGCTGGACTACGGTGCTGGAGGCCATTTGGTTGACCATGTCTCAGGTCCCTGGTCCTGGCCTGCTGGGTGTGTGTGCAGCCTGGGATCTTACCACGTTGGAGGTCTGGGGAAAGTGGAACAAGACATGACCAGGGCCTATTCTAGAGGGTCCTGTTCTCTCTTTCTTGTGCACAAATGCTCTCTCTCTATTATGAATTAAAAAAATAAAATTTTTGAAAAAAAGAAAAAGAATATATAACAAACAAAAGCACATAGATAATACTGGGTGCTCTATCCTTTGATATGAATACTCCCAAAGGGTGTCAGAAAAAAGTTCCAGAAAAGAGTGGTTTAAGATGTTCAAGGTAGGACTCACTCATAACCTCCAGGATTCTTACTTGCCTCAAAAGCCCACCTCATCGTTAAGGAGAAGTCCCTCTAGCAGACGGGAGCCTTTCATGGGAGGTCATGGCTGAAGCAGGGTAGCCAGGAGACGTGTTTATATGGAGGTGTGTATGGCACACACCTGAGCCTTCCTTAGGAGGGTTAAGGACAGAGGTCATGAGGATAATGAGTTTAAAATGGGAAGGAAAGAGAGAGGAAGAAAGCAAGCCGCCACGTCCAGGATTTGAACCACAGTTGACCATGTGGGAATTCCAACGCCTTAACCACCATGCCACCTGCTGTCCTCAGTATTTATTATTTTTAAATTTGCTATTGGGCACATGAGCTCACCAAGCAGAGACACACAGAGAGAGTGAGGTAAAGTGAGGTAAGTTACCAGGTCCAGGTTTTGAACTGCAATTGGTCATGTGAGAGTCCAGCACCTTAACCACGTGCCACCTGCTGGCTCAGAGCATGTTATTTTTTTATTTTTATTTTTTGAAGAGTTCTTTTGTTATAGGGTGTGTGCGCTCGCCAGAAAGACAGAGAGAGACAGAGAGACAGAAAGGGGATGGCCACACTGCAATCCCTTCTCCTCCATTCTCCTCTCGGGATCTTGAGTATGCACGCACACACGCCTTGCATGAGTTTAAGCCCCCAGGTCCGGGACTTGAACCACAGTCGAGTACATGGGAGTCCAGCGACACAGCCATTACGCCAACTGCTGGTCCCAGGCATGTTATTTTATACACATCATAGTCACATTTTAGACAGGACTGAGTTCTAAAGTCAGTATGTGTGTCAGTTGGTTCTTCTCAGAGATGCTGACACAGAGTGAGGAGTACAAGAGGTTCATTGACAGTAAAGCCAGTGAAAGATAAAAGGGAGAGGAAGCAGGATTGAGAGCCCCGCAGTGAATTGCACATCTGACAAAGTCTTAGCCAACTCCACAGGGAGCCCTGGACCAAAGATCACTCTTACAACCATTCCAGCATTAGGTAGAAATAGGCCTTAGAACCCCCAGTGTGCTTCATCTTTGGCTTGGGCTGCCCACAACTCAAGAGCACTGACCTGAAAGAAAACTAAAGTGGTGGAACCTGAAGGCACTCACAGCTGAACGCTGTCAGCTAACTGCACTCTGAAATAGCATGCCAAGTTCCTTCTACTTTATTAGGTTTTTGCCATGGGGCATGTGAGCTCGCTGGAGAGAGACAGACAAGACAGTGAGAGGGAAAGTGAGAAATCATTCCCTGGGGGGATGTGCATGCTGCTTTCCCTTTTCATCCATTCTCCTCCTGTGATTTTTGGGCACATGTGTACATATACCTGGCATGATTTTTTAAAAATTTTACTTAACTTTATTTATTTTATTTATCTTTACTTGACCAGAGAGAGACAGAGCAAGAGAGAGAAAGTGAGAAAACAAGCTGCCAGGTCCTGGACTCAAACCGCAGTGGGTCATGTGGGAGTCCAGCGCCCTTAAGCACCACGCCACCTGCTGGCCCCCTGGCATGATTTTTAAGCTGTCAGGTCTGGAACACATATCATGGTCGGCCATGTGGGATTCTGGCACCTTAACCACCATGCCACTTCCTGGCCCCTTCTTTTGTTTTTTAATCGTTGTAGAAAGCATGACCTTGTGAGGGGTAAGGGGAGACAGAATGAGAATATACTGACCAACGGGACTAGTCATGCCTCAATCCCTTCTCCATTTCTCCATCCCATCAGGATTTGGGGTATGTGTGCCAGTACACAGAGAGAGACAGAGAGACAGAAAGTGAGAAGTCACTCCTGGGGGGGGATGGCCATGCCGCAATCCCTTCTCCTCCATTTTCCTCTTGGGATCTTGGGCACACACGCACACGTGCCTGGCGTGAGTTTAAGCCACCGGGTCCAGGACGCGAACCACGGTCGACTACGTGGGAGTCCAGCGACATAGCCATATGCTAACTGAGGGTCCCCACCTGGCATGTTTTGAAAGCTGCTGGACTGGAATTTGTACCATGGTTGGTTGGCTATCTGAGATCTGGCTCCCTTAATCACTAGGCTACCAAGCCAGTCTGCATGTTCATTCATTTATTATTTTTTTTAAATAATTATTTTATTGAGGGACCAGCGGTTGGCGTAGTGGCTATGTCGCTGGACTCCCACATAGTGGACTGCGGTTCGCGTCCCGGACCCCGGGGGCTAAAAAAC